TTTATGGGTAGTTGGGTAATTTGCTTAATAATTTATTGGTCTGCTTCTTGTACTGTGGTTTTATTTTCTCTGGTGACAGCTGTTTTGGCCTTAGAAGCACTTCTGTCTATAGTAATCCCTTTAAAATACACTGTAGAGATGGTTTGCGAGATTAAATTCCCTCAACTCTTGCTTACCTGGAAATTGTTTAATCCTTGCTTCAAATTTAAGTGATAATCTTTCTGGATAGAGTATTCTTGGCTTGAGGCCCTTCTGTTTCATTGCATTAAATATATGATGCCATTCCCTTCTGGGCTGTAAAGTTTCTTCTGAGAAGTCTGTTGATAGCCTGATGGGTTTTCCTTTGTATGTGAATTTTTTTCTGTCTGTGGCTGCTTTTAATACTCTGTCCTTGTCCTTGATCTTTGCCATTTTAATTATTATGTGTCTTGGTGTTATCTTCCTCAAGTCCCTTGTGTTGGGAGATGTGTGCCCTTCCATCGCCTGAGTGATTATTTCCTTCCCCAATCTGTTTGTGATCATTCTTCTTACTCAGTGGCCAGGAATTGCCTCTCGGCAGTATGCTGTGGACATCACAGGGCTCACCATGTTTCCATTTTCTTTACAATCACAGTCCTGTGCTGGCATAGGATCAGTAGTCCTACGGTACTTATTCAGTATAATTTTTCATATTTTTTCCTTTTTTTTAAGCTGTTATATCAGGTAATTAAATGCTGTCTAGATTACTAAACTATTGTGGCTTACTAAAGAATATTTGTAATATGTGAGTCATTTTAAATTTAATTTTGGCTTTTATAGTATTATCTTGAGTTATTTCATGCATTCATATATCTGTTTTCATTACTATCTTTTCACTTTAAATAATATTTTGAGTCAATGATTCACATTTTATAAATTGGGACTATGGTAGAGCACATTACTAAATTAAAAACAAAATTTATGTTATTAGATAAGAAAATACTTTTTTTGAGATGGTATTTGTTATCTTGAATGGTTACTGAGAAAACTGATTTCTTGTAGTATGTACACATTTCCAAATGCAAAAATAGTAATGATAATATGAATGGTAATTAATTTTACATTTCAAGCTTATACATGTATTTGAACAAAATTATTTCCTTAATTTTTCATCTGAAATTACTATACCACCTATGGGTTCCTTGATTGAAACTGCTAGTTTTACTAAATCTTGAGAAATACTGCTGTAGTATTTAAGAATACATACTTTGGTGTTAGATCTCTGTAATAGCTCTTACATTTTTAAGTTTTTAAAAAATGTTTGACAAGTAGTTGAACAAAAATGTTGAATTATCCATTATTAGTAAGGTGAACATTTTGTTTTAATTAAACTTTTTATTTTAAGATAATTATTACATTCATATATATTAGTAAGAAATAACAGTGATCCTGTTTACACTCTTTGCAGTTTTCTTCAGCGGTAGCATTTTGCAAAGTTGTATTAACGTATCACAACCTGGATGTTGACATAGATGCAATCCATTGATCTTATTCAGATTTTCCCAGTTTTATTTGTACCCGTTTCTGTTTGACTATGTGTGTATTTACTTCTGTGCAATTTTATCATGTTTCAAGTATCTACCACCATAGTCAAAATACACAATAGTATTATCACCACAAGGATTCTTAACATTGTCCCTTTACACTACACAAGCATCTCTTCTACCTTCACTTCTCTCCCATCTCTAACCCTTGACAATCACTGATCTGTTCTCCATTTGTATAATCTTTTCATTTCAAGAATGTGTTATATAAATGGGCCATCTATATTTATGGTAATTTTGGTATGTTGGCATCTAAGGCTGCTATTTTATTATTTTTTCTGTTTCCTATTTCTTGTCCCCCTGTTTCTGTTTACTTCTTGTGGGTTACTTGAACAATTTTTAGAACTACATCTTGATTCACTTACAGTATTCTTGAGTGTATCTCTTTGTATAGATACAAAGTTTTCTTAGTGGTTTCTCTGGATTTTAAAAATATACATATGTAATTTATTACAGTCTATTGGTGCCAATGTGAAAAACCAAGTACAAATTACAAGAAGTGTATGTTCTAAATATAAATTAAAATTTTAAATATATAAAATAATAGAATGAAATACTGTTACACAGAAACAGATCAGAATATTTTGAATCCTAAATGCACATCTACTGAAACATTTTACTACTTCAAGGGATGAGTGAAATCTCTGCTTATATCCCATTACCTTTCCCATTTTTAAATATCATCTATTTTTAGTATCAGATGCTGTTATCACTTTTTTCCTTCATCACTTGTGATCTATAAGCCTCACAGAGAAGGGGAGTCTGCTGTGTGTTACTTGTTTCTCTTCTCTTTGTTGTTCTTTCGTGATGCTCCAAGAGTTCTTCTTTTATCACTTCATTTGTGTCTCAGGAATTTCCTTTAGCCTTTAAGGAGATGACCACTCATTTCAGTCTTTTAGGTTTTATCTTTTGCCTAAGAGTTTTTTTCTCCCTTTAATTTCTGAAGGATATTTTTGCCAGAAGTTCAACTCATGCCTGGCAGTAATTGTTTTTCAGCCCTTGAAAATGTGCTTCTTTGCTCAGGCATCCATAGTTTCAGATGAGGAATCCACTGTTGTTCAAACTGATGTTTCTCTGTAGGTACTGTGTCATTTCTGTTTTGCTGCTTTCAAGATCTTTTTTCTTTGTCTTTAGCTTTTAGAATTAATTAGTTTAATTGTGATGTGTCTTGTCATCCAGAGTTGTCCTTGGGACTCTGATTCAGTTTGGGGAGGAAAAAGCCTACCTGAGTTGCCTTTCATTACTAGTCTGGGGGTTGAGAAATGTTGGGCCTGTAACCTTCTTAGTTGGGTGAGGGGTCATGAGACACCTACCCTCTAGTCCTGGAGTCCCTCACTAGTCTGCCTTCCTCTGCGTTTATGCCTTCAGGTTTCTCCTTTGGTTGAGTCTTGTACTATTTCTATTGGTACTTAGAGTGTCTTGTTGTATTTATTAGGGGGGAAAAGAGAGACTGAGTCTATACCATTTTGTCTCACTTATTACTTAAAAATTTTTGGTGTGTTACCTAATTTTTCTAACTCTAAATTTCCTCAGCTGTAAAGAAGGGATAGCAATAGTAAACCTTTCAAAGGGTTATTATAAATGAAATAATGAGGTACTTCCTGAGATGAAGTGTATGCTTTTTAATAGATAATGATGTTACAGTTGATTGCAGGTTATTTATTGCATCATTGTTCTTAGGAACAAATTGAAACCACAATGTAGAGTCATTTAAATAAGTTCTGTGTTATCAATACAATGGAATCTAGCTGTCAAAAAATAATAAATGGGACATCAAAGATGCCCAAATGTTTCGTTAAGTGAAAAAATAGTTGTAAAAAGCATGATTTTCATGGTATGTATGTAAGTACATTCATATAGGTCATTTATAGGTGTTTTATATATGTGTAATAAAATATTTAGATCTATAGTTTGAATATAACAAAATGTAAAAGCAAAAACCTCTAGATAATGGGCTGGGAAGAAGGTAACATACATTTTTACATTATGCACCTCTTCATTGCTATAATATTTTTTGGTAAGAATTTTTATCTTTATAAAAAAAGCATAAATAAAATTATGAAAAGCCTTCAGTTTGGCTATGTATGTATGGTTTTAAAAAGTGGTTAAGTAATATTAATCAAATTATTTCCAATGTTATTATTAACTTCATTCTTTGGAAATTATCTCCCAAATGTAAAGCCCATTAGTTATAAGAGTACTCTGAGATTTCTTACATATGGATAGTTTATTCAAAGCAAAATCAGCTTAAATTTTGATACTTCTATGTTTTTGACCATTGAAGTGTCACTTTCTTCCCTACCTTTGTGTAAATTTGAAAATTGTGTAAATGTGAAAAAATTTTAAGCATTATGTTTATTTTCTATTACCTGATTTGAGTATTTTTAATGAGCTGTTTAGGATGCCAAAGTTTAGATGAGCATTTCGAGGGAAGATGGAGGTGTGGTCTGGATAGATATTTAAAGACTAATGACAGGTTTCCGTTTATTTGATCTTTATATCCCAATTTTTTTGGACCAAAGATGTGTATTTCTTTTAAATCTGTATATTCTTATAAGCATGTCTTGCATATGATTGGTGGTTGTCTCAGTGCAGTAGGAAATGAGTCTCTTCTAGATGTATCAACAGAATGGGATTTAATAAAAGGAGTTCATTACAAAAGTGCTGGAGACACCAAAACAAGGAGATTACTCAGCGATCTGAATGCTGTTAACAGGCAGGCTGGAGCTTGCGACCAAACTGAACTACTGTAGGTGCGCCTGCTGCTGTTAGCACAAAACCACCGCCTAACTGCCATAGTTACCTGCCCGGGTGGACACAGAGTGCCTTTCTTCCTTCTGCTTGCTAATCTCTCACCAGAACTTGCACTGTGGACCCTAACAGTAACACAGCTATCAAGGGAGTGTTGGAAATTTAGGTTTTAAGTTTTTATCAGCAATGCAAAGAACTCTATAGAAGGGAAAATGGGACTCATAACCAAGAGATAAATGACCAGCACAGTACTAAAAACTGTTAAGGGCAGGGATCATAGCTTTTTAATCTTTGTATTATTGGTGATGAATTCAGATTATGTCACTTTTAAATTCTTAGAAGCTATTTGTTAAATCCTTTTTTTTTTTGGTTATCTATAAAAAAAGAAATGTATTATGAGATCAAAGTTTTCCTTTTTCTATTACACATACACAATTTTGGCATTTTCAGTATTTCACAGTACAATTTAAACTACAGAAAAACCATTCTTACTCAACTTTAGCCACTAGCACCTAACATAGTAACTAGCACATACTTATTAATTGTTTCTTGATTAATTAATATTAGGTATACTTTACTTACTCACAAAAATGTGATGTTAGAATTTAATTGTTGGTAGTTTGGTGATATATTAGTTATATTGTAAATACTACTTCAAGTTCATGATTTGTCTTTTTTCTCTTATAGCATCAAACACTTGGCTTGTTCCAGAAACTAAAGGAGCCATTGTTCAAGGTGGATATGGCCATACCAGTGTGTATGATGAAATAACAAAATCCATTTATGTTCATGGAGGCTATAAAGCATTACCAGGCAATAAATACGGATTGGTAGATGATCTTTATAAGTATGAAGTTAACACTAAGACTTGGTGAGTAAATTGGGCAGAAGTATGATAAGAAAATTTGTTACTGTTATATTTTGTTTGTTTAATAGTGGTGTTTATTAAATATTTTCAGGGAGATAGTCTTGGCTTCTTTTCATCTTTATTTCAACTAATGATATTCGATTACATAGCAAAGACATAAAATAACACATTTTCTATGTACCCATTATTACTGTAAATGACTGACTTTGAAATGGTTTCTTATCCCGTGGATACATTTATTCAACGTGGATTACTTACCTGTGCTGAGATTATGTTCCATTCAGATGAACAAGTTTGCTTACCAGTATAACTTTGAGCTTTAATATTATCTGTCCTGGGATTTGTTCTTTTTTATATTTATATTTTATTGTCATTTGAAAATTTTAAAAGCATTTCTTCAGTTTTATCATCTAATTTCTTGTGAAATATAAAGCTTATGGCACTTAGGTAAATTTTCCTTTTTTGTTGTTATAAACAGTGCTACATCGTACATCTTACTCTGGTTTTCTCATATGCAAGAGTTTCTCTAGGGTATATACTTGCAAATGAAATTTCTGTGTCTGAGAATATCCACTCCTTAACTTTGCTACATGTTTCCTAATTGCATTTCAAGTCACTGTGGCAATGTGTACTTCTGCAAGCAAGCTATGAGTGTCCCCTCTTTTTCATATTCCCACCAATGCTTGGGAATTGAGAGGATGTTTTCCTTTTGTCTGTTCAATGGATGCGAATGGTATCTTACTGATATTTCAATGTGCATACACTAATTACAATTGTGAAAAGCATCTTTTTATGTGTTCATTTGTCATTCATGCTAATAACCATAGTATTTTCCCTATATTTGAATGTTATTAAATTTTCATATATTTATATTCCTGGTTATGTAACTTTTAAAATATAATTTTTGTTGTACTCATTTCCCTTTTTAAAACCTGGGAAATGGCTCTTTTGTTGTTTTAAGACACTATTCATTCTTTTAAACTTTTTGCATGAAGTTACTTTATGTGTTTAAATGAAACAGTTTCCCACCAAATTGTAATTTGTCCTATCCTCTTTACTTTCAAACATATATTCTAATTTTTACTTTATTTGAAACAAGAAAGATGGAATTAAAAAAAATTAAGTTTTTTTGGTGATTTTGTCGGTTTCCATTTTTTTAGTTTTAAAAATACAGTACTATTCTTTATAGTTTTTATGAATATTAAAATAAAAATTTTTTCTTTTCTGTAATAATATAATATAATTTATGCATTGAATTTTATTTCCTATCTTAATATTTTGAAGTGATTTGACTCTTTGCTGTGGTATAGTGATTAAGGCACTATCAATCTGCTTAACATTTTTTGCATGTATTAGATATTGTATCATGCCAAAAAATGAAAAGATAACTGCTTGGGCATAGAAGAGGGAACATAGCTCAAAGGAATAATAATGAGTATAGCAATACTCAAGGGAGGGGTTAATGAAAGTGAATTGCTAAGAGAACCATGGGTAACATTGGATACTTGTCTCTTAGGATAATTTAATAAAATAATTTGTAAATTATTTTGGATACCTCAGTAGAAATACATTATAATATCTATGTTGTTTCAGTATTTTACTGGATTCCACATTTTTAAAAAAGATCAGTAAAATCATCAGTAAGCATAAAATGATATATCTTTTTCTTAAGTTTGTAGCATTCTTAAAGTTTTGATGCCTTTTGTTGATTTAATTTTCATGTTTGCTATTATATGTAGATTATAGTATTATCAAATATGTAAAATGAGGTGTAATTTAAAAATGTCACTATTATGGGTCCTTTGTAGACTAATTTAAAATTTCTACCACCTTGGAACTGGCTTCATTTTTTAGTAGATATTGTAGGCTACTTTGTTGAGATATTACTAAATGTGTGTTTGGAAGAAGTCTTTTTAAATGGTGGAATGGATTATTTTAGACTATGTTTCCAGATGGAAAAATTAGGAATTACATCTCAGAAAAATTAAGAACTGCATTTGTTAAGGTATCAGAAAACTTTCAAGAAAGTAAGAATTTGTGGGTCAAGATCTAGGACAGGTAGAATGTCAAGTGATGTAAGATTGGCATTTTGTGCAACTTTTATCCTTGAAACAATAATAAATCCTGAAAACTGTATGAAAAATTGAGTATGAGTAGTCAACATAGAGCACCAAATTGGATTTCCAAGTATGCCACAGAAGAGGGGCTTGATACACACTTAAAGATTTAGTCTAGTACCTGAAGTTCTAAACCTACTAGTGAGGATAAGCTCATCTTTGAATCATCACAGTCTTTACTGAATTATGGTGATTGGCCCATAGCCCAGCCAGCTGGCAGAGCAAATGTAAATCCTACCTTGAGGAAGATAACATCATAGAGAACCTCAAATTATTTCTTTGTTGTATTATATGCAGTATCTGGTACAAAATAAAAAAATAACAAGGTTTAGCAAAAGACAAAGCAGGGGAAAAAAACAGCCATTAGCAACATACCTTTAGGGTAATGGTATTTTCAGACAGAAACTTTAAAATAACTAGTATTCTATGATCAAGGAATTAAAATATAAGGAAGAAAATATTAGCGGACAATTTAAAACTTTTACTGAAGAATCAAATGAAAATTATAGATATGAAAAATAAGTAAATTAAGAATTTGTTAGATGGATTTAACAGCATGTTAGACACAGCTGAGGAGGGAATTAATGAAATGCAAGGTCATAAGGAAATATGGAGACTGAAATAAAGAAAGACAAAGGATGAAAAATAAAAGACATCTATGGATCATGTTTAAATAGCCTAACATGCAGCTAACTGAGTCCAGAAGGGGAGTGAGAAAATGTAGAGCACTATTTGAAGTCTAAACGACTGAGAATCTTCAATAACGGTAAAAGACATCAAGTACAAATTGAAGAGGTTCCATGGGGGACAAATACAAATAAACTTACATTTAGGAACACCATACTAAAACTGATGAAAACGCAAAAATGAAGAGAAAAATTTATTAATAATTGAGGATTTATATTGTAATAATTAGGTAACAAAAAAAGTAAAACAGTCTGTATATTATGAACTAAAAGAGGGGAAAATGAGAATCCTTCTTAATGGATTTGGAAGAAGAAAGGAATGGTAAGGGAACAAAATACAGTTGGGACAAATATAAAGGAAGTAATAAGTGGTGTTTAACTCTAAATATTTAAATAATTACACTAAATGTAAGGGAATAAATATTCCAATTACATTAAATGTAAGAGACTAAATATGCCCATCAAAAGCTAAGGACTTTTGAGCTGGGTATTAAAAAAAAAAAACCTAGCCATATGATGCTTAGAAAAGATACAAAAGTATAAAAGTATGTAGAAAAGTTGAAAGTAAAAAGATGTAAGAAAGATATATTATGCCATTACTAAACAAGATAAAGTTGGTATAGCCACACTAATCAGACAAGTAAACATTTGTCCGGCATCTACTTGGAACATATAACAGTTCAGAGTATAGGTACCTTATAACACTATGTAAGTAAAGCAGAAATTGATAGATTAGAGGGGGACAAATCATAGTGGGATATTTTTAAGCATTTGTTTTGGTAATAATACAAGGGGACTAAAAAAACAAGTGAATATATAAAAAATTTGAACAGGACAATAAATAGTTTTGTGTTCTGTGACATTTGAGAACATATTATCTTAAGAATGCACAATGAATATACATCGTTTTCAAGTACATATGGAACATTTAATAAAATTTACCATAAGCTGGGTTTTAGTGCAAGTCTCGATTAATTTTAAAAAGATTGAAATCATACAAAGTAATTGACCACAGTGAAATGAACACAAAAGTAAATGGAAAAACCGTAAACTGTCAGGAATTAAGCTCCTTAAAACTAATTGGCAAGGAAATTTACAAAATCTTAGAAAATATTTTGTACTAAATGATAACACATCAGAATGTGTACGATGCTGCCAAGAGGGACATTAGAAAAGATTTTGAAAGTACTGAAAATTAGTGGTTTAAACAACCTCAAAAGGTTAAAAAACCCAGGGAATTAATTCTAAAAAAGGATAAAGTGAATAAAGGTAGGAAAAAGGAAGATAATACGAGATTGAGCATAAATTAATCAAATAGGAAAAAAGTAAATGATAGAGATGATCTATAAATTTGGTTGTTTGTAAAGAGTAATAAAGAGATGAATCCCCACCCAGACTTAGAAACAAATAGTATATTCTCATAACCAGTATTGAGTGAAAAATGACATCAGTACAGAACTTACAGAAATTAAATGATAATCACTGCATATGATGAGTAGCTGTATGAGAGTAAATTAAAGAAGCAAATGAGCCATATCAAATTACTAGAAAAATAAAACTTTCCAGAATTGACACAAGAAAAGATAGAATACTGAAATAATTTTTTATCAAACAAGCAGAATCTAACTGGAGTACTGTTCTCTTAAGAAACAAACATACAACAAACAAAACAAGATCAAAAACTGTCCCGGCCAAGATCACTTTACTGGTGAATTTCTCCAAACATTTAAGAAGTGAATCTTTAAGGAACAAAACCACCAATGCTTCACAAGCTTTGAGAGAACAAAATAATTATGTTGAAATTTTTGGGGCTAACATAACCTTGATACAAAAATAAAAAAAGATTACAGATAAGGAAGATTATAGCATTTTTTCATGAATATAGATACAAAAAAATCAGCTGAATTTATCTATTTATGAAAAAGGATGATATATCATTCATGCTCATCCTAAGAATATAAGGTTAATTAAAAATTCATAAAATCAGTGTAATACAGTAAAAGAATAAAGAAATAAAGCCACATAATCTTATCAAAAGATGCAGAGAAAAGTTTATTTATATTATTGTAATGAAGTTGATATACAATATTATGTTAGTTTGAGAAAAGTTTAGATAAAATTTAACATTCATGATATAAATTCTAGTAAAGTAGGATTAGAAACAAACTATTCATGTGGTAAGAGGTACAAGCAAAGAGGA